CAACAACGCCGTCGCAATCCCCATGTGGAGGAACAGCGTCGTCTTCCACAGCCTTGACAAGGTAAGCCATTCCTCCCCACCAACCTGCAACCTAACCCTTCAAGGTCACATCCGTCTTCATCCACTTCATGCCCTGCGCAACCCTCCACTGCATAGTCCACCTCCTCCCAGTCACCCTCCAACAAGTTCGTTTCCCTGCCGTCCACACAATCAAATACTCCCCCCCCACTGCACCAGAACACTACCGCCTCAAAGACATGATCTTATGGGCAACCCTTCCCTATGCCATCTGGCAACTCTCCTACCACATCCTCATCACCGTCCGCAAACGCGACAAAATCGCCGCCGGTCGCCCAACATCCTTCACCTGGCTCCGTCGCTCCTATAAAAACACCTTTCTCGGAAAACTCGTCCTCTCCTGCCCCGAGAAGGCGCAGGAACCGGCGTTCATGGCGATTCAGTACCTCTACGCACTGACTACTATCCTCCCGTGTCCGCTTTGGTTCTCGTCCCTCCATGCTTCGGGGGCGTTTTTACTGATTGTGTTTGCGTGGGCGTCGTGGAATGGTGCGACGTATTATATTGATATTTTTGGGAAGAGATTGGAAAGGGAGCTGGAGACGTTGAGGGTTGAGGTCGCTAGGCTTAATGGGGCATTGGAGGGGGGGAGTAGGGATGCTTCGCGGGGGAGGAAGGAGGGGAAGGAGGGGGTAGAGGGGATGTAGAGGGGATGTTGCTTCTTGTGGGTTTGGGTAGATGGCTTTTGCGAGAGATGGTGGGGTTGAGATGCGTTTGTTTATTTGGCTTTGTGACTTTTTGGGGTGAGGGGATTTTGATGGTAGATATGAGTATCGAGGTGAGGTGTTCTCCTCTCTCCAAAGGGAGAAGGCTTACAATCTTTGTAAAGGTATGGGTTTGAGAGCTACGCTATGAGTGCGTTCCCAGACGTGAAACTTTTTCTCGCCAGAGTGCATCATAGCTGGGGAAACCCTTTTAAGGTGCTGTATCGGCAACAGTGTCTACTACGAGAGCCGAAGGTTCATTATTAGCAGAATTATTAGCAGGATGCAAGCCTCACTTCACCCGCAACAATGGCGTGAAATCTGCGTTCAAAGGCAATTAGAAACGATGATACCACATTCAAGCAAAGACAGAGTGCATCCCACCCCAAACGCCCTCCCCGATTCATAACAGCCCCCTCCCCATCATCGAACCCCCACCCTCTGTTATAACCCCCCCTCACTAACCGCTTCCCCCACCTCCCCCAACTCCCTCGCCCTCTCAAACGCCCCCTCAATCCTCTTCATTAACACCTCAACCTCCCCCCCCTTCTTCTCCACTCTCTCAAACCTCTCCCTAACCCTCTCCTCCAAAACCCCAAACCTCCTATCCAACTCCTCCTCACACCCACTCAGCACCGGCTGCACGCGTGCCTTCACCAACTCCTCCGCGGGAAGCGCATGCAACGCAGTCGGAACGACCCCTCCCTCATCCTCTCCCTTCCTCCTCCTCGCCTCCTCCACAACCCGATCCAACTGCGCCAGCCACGTGGGCACATTCCTCTCCTGTAGAATAACCTCAAAGTGGTCTTTTAGCTGTTGCTCGAGGTTTCCGACCAGTTGCGCGTGTAAATTCGCGAGCGCCTGAGGCGTGTAGGACGCGATGGTGGGGAAGCTTGTCTCCAGAGCTTCGAGGGTGAAGGTATGTGTGAGGATGTAGGTGATTGCTTTGTCGTAGAGAGAGCGGAGGGAGGATTCGCGCGAGCCGGGTTTAGGCTGCGCAGGCTGCGCGACCGGTGGGGAGGACATTGTTGTGTGGAGGGGGAGACGCGTCAGGTGGGGGGTGAGATGGGACGGGCCGGCTTGGCGGACACGGAACACGGACGTGGTTGCTATTAGATGAGGTTTGGTGTTCTGCCTCTGCCTTCTTTATATGTTGTTCAGAATCGGTCTAGTCGCAGGAGTGGGGTGGTCTGACGGGGAAGTTTGCAATGTGAGATCTTGTCGATTCAGTAATGCGAGACTTGATGGACCCCACTTAAACTCTGTCAGATCCGCTTCGGGCCGCACCATACTACGGCTAGTGTAAAACTTTGATTTGTGCGCGCGACATGCACTTCGAACCATTCCAAACAAGTTGAGGCGGCAGGTAGAACTGCTCCGCTCTTTTCCAGACGCGCCGGAATTCGCGCACAGTGACAATGATACAAGCGTGCGATCCTCGCCCCTAATTCGTATCATCGCGCACAGAGGCCTAATCTGCTACTCCAAAACTCTTGCATCGGGCACTGCCAAAGAACTTGTTGGTAGGATAGCGGCCGCCTGTTGTGCTGCGATAGACAGCTTGTTGTAAGATGCTGCGCCTCAAGTTAACAGTCATCTTGCATCTCAAGTGTTGGTTGAAGGATGCCCTGCTACGGGCATCTGGAGATGGCTTGAGTGCTAACACCTCCCAGCTTTCACTGGCCCGGTCCACCTGGAGCGTCAGTTGATAATTCTTTACACAATTGAGTCGGGCGAAGATCTCAGCGACTTGTCCCTTAACCTCGGAGTCAATATACCAGATTGTACAGCTGTTCCGGTATCTGGGCCCGCAATCGAAGAGGCACGGGAATTGTTTAAAGGATGAGCACATAAGCAGTTTATAGAGGACACGAACTGCCGTTGCCGCGAGCACGGCATCTCTCAATATATGGCTATCAAACAAAGTTATACGTTGCAACAAACCATTGGTTGAAGCACTGGCAGTGGGCACAGATCAAGGCCTGAGCGAAAGATTTTCTTGCGTGGAACCTGAGGAGCTACTTTGTTCTGAAGACCAGACTCAGAAGACAACCATGAGACGAGAGGGCTAGCCCGTAACAGCTAGGAACGACGCTGGAATGGAGACCCATCGAGCGTCCTAGACATTGATTATGGCTCATCCTCCGGACATTTCATAGTGCGTTGACCCGAGATCGTCCGCAGAGGGGCAGTATCGCAAGACGAGGGCGATATATACTGCAGAGAGTGCGGTCTTCCTACACTTTCGAGGACAACATCACTTGCGAAAATGTCTGTTAAACTTCACCATGGACAAAATTATCCCAGCGCAGGGCAAGGAAGCAGGGGAGATTTTTAATGATGCCATCGTCGATGCCTATACTGGAGATCTTCCCCGCCGTGTGCATTACAGCACAGAGGGAACGCTTTTGATGGTCGTCAGGGACGTCTGCATAGAGGTTGGATTAACCAGAACTAGATGAGGATTGGCACGATCTGAAGAAGCACCCATGGTCAATGCCCTTCGTAAATCAGACGAGGAAAAGGATGGTTTTCCCCTGAGGTTGCAAGAATCAGAGGTGGTTAATGCCCATTTATCGTTGCCTATACTGGACGTCTTCCCTATTGCTTGCAGTGCGTCACTGTCTGCACGCTTCTGACGATCACCAATGGGACGCCTGCGCAAAAGTCAGATTCACCAGAGCCGCGTGAGCAGTGGCACAATATTAAGAGACGTCCAGGTCGATAACTCAGCCAAGGGAAAGTATGGTGTCCCTGCTACCGTTTCACATACATGGTAGCCAAAGTCAATACATCGTTGTCTATGTTGAATGTCCTTCTCATTCTGCGCACTGCATCAATGCGTGCACACTTTTGATGGACGTCAGTACAAGCTAACATGGATGCCTACACCAGTTTAGATTGGCCAGAACAACGTGAGAATTGGCACAATTTCAAGAAACCCCTAAGTCGATTACTCGACCAGGGTAAAATATGGCATCCCTGCGGCTGCGGGACATTTGTGGTAGCGGATGCAAGATTTGGCACTACTAGTTCGCTGGGTCTTTACGTACAAGTTCAAAGATAAAGGCGAACTACAAAAGCACAAAGCTCGTTTCTGCATCCGCGGTGATTGAGGGCGTGGACAAGGGGGCAGGGAATGGCCTAGGCGGCTACGGTTTTGTGGAAGATGAGCGCGCGATGGGGGGAAATGGAGCAGAGAATGGATTAACCCGTGTGTGATTGTGCAGTTCGTTTCGGTATGGAGGTTGAAACACGCTGAGATGATCGGAATGACTTGTTTGTAAAGACGCGGGCATTGGAAAATGCGTGTCCGCCCACCTATCCTGGTGAAGCCTCTCCTGTCCTCAGAGGACTGTTGCCCAATTCTGTGCCAAGATCTTCCACGTCTGTATGCAAAAGCCAAACTCAAACCCCTACCCCATAAGTTTCAGCACGACGGGATCTGGACGCCCCCAGGAGTTGACACCAGGTATGTATCCATCCTGAAATTCAGTCAAACGGTAGCGGTGATTATTTGTGCACCCTTCCTTTGTAATTCAAATGAGTGGGCTATACCAAGAGTATCCACTCCGAGGTCATCTTCCACCAGCCTAGCGTCTCTTTATATCCAGTCCACACAAACGGGAATCTACAAAGAGAAGGATAGTTACCCCAAAGAATGTGCACCCCGTCCCAGTGTATCCACGGTTTAGTACCCGAACAAACTATCTCAACGTAGTGACCCACCCAACAAACCTCTAGCAAAAAATCAATTCTCCGACGGAACAGAAGCCGCATCATAGTTCCCACCAAAAAGGTCTGCCGGTCCAGTTCATTATATTTCCTCAAAGATTCAGAGAATACGTTCGTTGGAAGATCCACCCAAATCTCACCAAACTTCACCAATATTTCCGCAAGGAAACGTAACACCTATCTCCCTCTTTCCCACATGGGGAGTTCATCGACCCAATCTTTACACTTCCTACACCAGCCCATAAACCATCGGCCGACACTCTACAAGAGAAAAGGGTTAGCATACAACTATGGATGAGATCTCCGCCGCTTGGATGGCAGTTTCACAAAAACTTTCCTGGGAGTTGCCACCATACTTCTACCTTTTCACATAGGGCAATTACTTCCTACATTTCGCAATGAATACTCAAAAAGATGCAAATCATTCCACCACAAATCTCACAGACCCTCATCCACACGAGAGATTTTACAAAAAAGAAAAATTGGCGGTACCCAGAATCGAACTGAGGCTGGCACGGATGCAGAGAAGATAGCCACAACGTGACGTCATACCACTAGACCATACCACCTTTCCACTGGACCAATCATTCCAGTTACAATGTTTTCCGAATTGGTGAAATATAAGTACCCCACATTTAAGCGGGTTTTTCACAATGGACCATAACAGCGTCTTGTCACGTTGCGGACTATACTATCCTTACAACTGTGCTGTGCCTTACGAAAGACCTAACTACGCTATGGGCTGGAGGTAAGGCGTCGGGTCACGTGGCTGCAATATGGTTCCGTGGCACATCTGGTCTAGATGCAAATAGCTTCCTGGAGCAATGGACTGTCGTTAATCTGGAACCTCAACAATGATTATACAGTAGATGTTCACAGAACATACGAATAGCCATGGAAATTCCATATCGATTTGCTACGTCCTCCCAACTTTCGTTATGCCATCGAGTGTTTGTGTGTGATTGAGGAATTTGTTTCTTTCAAAATGCAGGGCAAAAAAAAATCATGGCGGTACCCAGAATCGAACTGAGGCTGGCACGGAAGTTGTGCAATTGTTAATCACCACAACGTGACGTCATACCACTAGACCATACCACCCGTAGATTAATCAAAAGAGAAAGGAATATATACCCAATCTATTCAACCTTTTCTCAACCACACCGAATGAGAGCACATGGATAAAGATCAAAAACGGATAGAGACCGAAACAAACACGTCCTCTCTACAACTACAAGAAGTGCACCCACACGAATGCAATGCTCACTGGAGAAAAAAAAAACACCCCCCCTTCCCAAATCATTCACCCAAACTGATACTTTCTCAACTGTACCACTTGTCAGCAACTCACCCACCAGCGGTGTGTGTAAACTCACATCAAGCGTAACAGCTCTACTCGAATTAGCCGACTGATCCTTCATGACACCCACCAAGCTGGCCGAATCCTGAAATAGCGCCTGTTTGAGCGAAATAACAACAAACTGCATCCCCGGCCCTGCATGTGCGCGGAGATACGCACTCAACTGTTGAGTATTATTCACATCCAACGCCGCATCGACCTCATCGAGGACAAAAAACGGCGAGGGAGCAAAGGTATGAATCGCAAAGAGGAGGGCTAGGGCGGCCATGGTTTTCTCCCCGCCAGAGAGAGAGTCCATCTCACGAAAGCGTTTCAGGGGCGGCATGGCATGGTACTTTACCCCAGAGAGGTAGGGCTCGACTTCGTCCTCGATATCGAGGGATGCGGAGCCGCCGAGGGGGAAATGGGGTGTTTTGGTTAGTTCTTTGTAGATTGGAGTGATTTGTTGAGAGATGTGTTTGTAGGCTTTGTTGAAGAGTTCTTGACGGCGGGACTTTATGGCTTCGAATTCTTTGGTTGCGCGCTTGCTGGCTTGCGTGGATTGTTTGAATTCGCGATCGGTGGCTTGGAGGCGGGAGGAGGTTGCAGCGAGACGCTCCGCGGAACGCATGTTTGGGGCGAGTTTTTCGAGGCTGGTGGTTAGGAGGGATATTTGTTCAAGGAGGGAGGCTTCGCGGTCGGGAGAGCCGTCGGTTTCGAGGTCCTCGGGGAGGGTGGAGAAGTCGACGTGCATGCCGTAGTCGTTGCAATGGGTTGCATCGCTTTCGTCTAGGTCAACGGTTTCGTCGACGTCTTCGATCAATGCGTCTTCGGATGGGAGCTCGTTGAGTGCGCGGCTGGTGCTGAGTAGTGGGATGGTGATGTTTTCCACTTGACAGCGTTTGAGAACGCCGTAACGCTCTGTTGATGCTCGCTGCGCTTCGGCTTGGTAGTTCGACGCTTCTTTAACGGTTTTGTCTACTGATTTGATGCGATTCTGGAGTTGACGGCGGGTTTCGTTGACTTTTTCCCCTCGTTGTTCGTGTTGTTTCTGTAAGCCCGCCAGACTTTCCCGCAGGTCTTCCAGCTCAGACTTCAACTCTTCTTCCTCAGCAGCGATGCGTTTACGCTCGGCCTCCAGCTGTTCAATTGTGGCTTCATCTCGTTTAGCCTTTGCCCGCTCAGCCTCAATGCGCTGTGTAGTCGTGGCGAGCCGCTCATTCTCAAACGAGAGCTGGTTTTTCAGACGGGAGATCTGCCGACTAAATTCGAGCTTCTTCCGGTCGGCTTCCTGCTCGAGAGAACCCTGTAGACGCTCATACTCTTCAATATTGCCAAAGCCCAGTCGACGACAAAAGTCGCCAAAGACTTCGTCGGCAACCGACTTGACGGCATTACTGTGTTCTGAATAGGTATTGCGTAGCGTCTCAAGACTACGCGTTTGAGCATCATATTGCTTCTTCAACTGAGACCGTTCAGTCTGCACATGGCCCAGGAGTTTCGACTTGGACTCGATATTGCGTTCGAGAGCAGCCAGCTCTTCCTGGGCGTACTTCAACTTGGCCTCCAAGCCACTGAGATCAGACCGAAGCTGCTCTTCCTCTGCCTGACGCTTGTGCCCTTTGGGCAGTGCAGACATCTCTGCTTGGAATTTGTCTTTGAGGACACGCAAATTCTCGACCTCAGACTCTTCGAATCGCCTCTTCTTCTCGCTGGGCTCGGAGCCACCAGTCATGTTGCCGCCTTTGTGAATGACAGTCCCGTCGAGCACCACGGCCTTGGCATCAACATGGCGTTCGTAGCAGAGATGTCTGGCAATCTGCAGCGTCTCACAAACGATGGTGTTCCCACAGGCAAAGTTCATGGCCCGCTCGATGCTGCTGTCAAAGTCAATGACATCAATGGCAAGACGCATGCCCTGATGCATGCCGCGGAGGTTGGAGTTGGGCTGCTTGTGGATGATGGTGTCGAGTGGGATAAACCGCATCTGACCTATGCGTTGGTCACGGAGGTAGTCGAGGGCATCACGAGCAGCCTTCTCAGTGTCTACCACTACAGAGTCCCACTCCCGGCCCAGGGCAGTCACAATGGCCGCCTCGTATTTTTTCTGCTTGGGTTTACAGAGTTGGTGCATCATGCCTCGCACGCCTGGGAAGAGACGCTTCAGCTGGGCCACCGTCTCACGCTGTTCTGCCTCCTTACGGGATTCACGTTGAGAGTCGGTGGCATCCCGTAGTCGACGGAGAACTTCTACCAACTTCTCCTCCAGTTCCCGCTGCCTTTGGTTGTGACGCTCGCGTTCACTGGCGAGGGCGTTAATCGACTTTTTCTTGGCATCAACCTGGCTGCTGGTAGAGTCCATGGCGTCCTGCAGTTCTGTCCGACGCTCCTGGAGCATGGCCAGCTCGGCCTCTAGACTGCCCGCCTGAGCCTTTGTGCTGTCGACTTTAGACTTCAGACTACTCACAGCATCCTCATCGGCCTTTAGTTGGCGGGAAATGTTGTCTACCTTGATCTGATCCTGACCAGATCGTTTATAGACCTCGCTGCGGAGACGCTGATATTCCTTGACATCTTCCGCACTGACCTCCCGCCCAGTCTGCTTCTGCTGTTCACGCCACTCTTGCTCCCAGCGCGTCTGCGCCTTTTCAACCGTTTTTAGATCATTCTGCATCTTAGCAGCCGACTTTTGTTGCGTTTTGCGTTCTCCCTCCATATTGGCCAACACCCGCTGGTGTGTCCTCAGCCTGTCTTGGGAGAACGAGAGCTTTTCATCGATCGGCACGAGCTCGTTTTCCTTTTCAACGGCATCTTTTTCCTTTTGCTTGATCTGACGCTCGTACTTGGAGACTTCCCGCCCGACTTTGGCCTGTTCCGTCTGGGCATCCTTGAGTTTGTTCTCGTACTGCTTGACGTTTCGTCGAAACTCTTTCAGCTCTTCCTGGCGTTTCTGGAACTCGGCCGCGCTGTCTTCAATGGTACGCTGGAAGTGAAATAGCTTCCACAGCACATGGGTAACGATCGCCTCATCGCGCTCATCACGCAAGTTTTCGTATTTTTCCAGCTCCTCTTTCTGCATCTGATATTGCCTAATCTCGCCATTGATTCCACGACGCTGGTTCAATTTGTGATGCTGATCCTCATCTGCCCGTTCCTTTTCATTCTTCAGACGTTCATACTCAGCTTTGTAGTCCAGCGACCCGCTAATCTGCTCAATCAGCCGCGTAAGATCTTTGGGGTTCTGGTTCGCAATAGATTCAACGTCTCCCTGGAAGACAAGAAAGTTACGAGCTTTGATCAAGATATTCTCCGCCTCCAACGCTTCGTTGTACTGCTTCGCCGTGACAACGCGGTTATTAATGCGGTATTCGCTCTGTCCGGCCGAGGTGATTGTGCGCTTCCAACGCTGCTCTTCACCCGCATCGTCTTCGTAAACGGCCATGACCCATGCCGTCGTAGGGTTATGGTTCGCATGATCGTTTCCTTCGCTGTCGCCATTCTGCGCTCCCTCAACCGCATCCCCATTGGCATCCACGGTGGACTCTTTCAAAACGCGCCCACGATAGATCAATTCGCTCAGATGCGCTGACCGGAGATGCGAAGATTTAATCCCCAGCACAAAGGAGATGGCGTCCATGGAATTCGACTTTCCGGAGCCATTGGGACCAATAATTGAAGTGAAGTAGCTGTCTCCAAACTGGTCCGCGTCAGTCCAAACTCCACACGTCAGCCAGCGTACGACTCACAACCAGACGATGATGACCGCGGTACGACTTGAAGTCATAAACCTCCAACGCGATGAGCTTCCCCATGGTCTTGGGACACTTGCGACAACTTGCGCCGGTGAAGCAGACGTCGCGCTGTGGGCGCGTCGCGACGCGTCGGATCTGGGGCTGGGTCGGGCCGGGCCGTCGATCAACGTCGCCCAAGACCACCAGATCAGTCTAGAGTCTCAAAATGGGCAGTTCGGCTTCAAAAGGCGCCCGAGCGGCTACAAGAAAGTATCCGACAACGCCAAGCTTGGCTGCTAGTCAAACGAAACCTCAGCCACCACCACCTGCACAACCACCGCGGCCGGCGGAGGAAGGAAGAGGTGAGGAGATCGACCGAGATGGCCGCGACCCAGACTTTGCGCGATTTCTACGCTCCATAGGGCCAGTGCAGCCTAATCCTACACTCTCCCCTTCATCCCAAGCAGGCCCACATGGGAAGGCGTTTGACCCCATGTCCAATCCTGCAGTGGTTATGCTGAAAGCGCGGGCGAGGATACAGCAAGAGGCAGAGGAAGAGCAGCAGCAGACGGAGCAAGGCCATGGACAAGGCAGAAAATATTTAGTTGCAGAAGAGCTGCGTCAGATGCTCGTTCTCAGAGACGTTCACAGGAAGAGCGCGGCGGAAATTGAACGCACCATGGGATTAAAAACCGGCGTGGTGGACAAGTTGGGCGGGAATATAGTACAATTAGCACAGTTATAAAATCCTCAGCTCTTTTCCTGACCGCTCCATAACCATCTACTCTCGTCTTCTACGCCTTTCATGGCCACGGCCACCTGGTCTAGTTTCTCTACAACGTCCCTGACGCTTTCCTGCACGTTGCGGAAGAATTCCCTGTTCTCTTTTCTCCGCTGGGTCGCCCTTCGCACGTCTCGTTCCGACGACTCCAATTCATCTGCGAGTGAGGGATTGCTGAGGACTGTCGACGCTACGGATCCCTTCCTCTCCGTTTGTTCTTTTTCTTTTTCCTTGCCGTCTTTGCCCCAAG